CAACCGGTGACTTAGTTAGGCCTAAAGCTAGAAACATATTACTGAGGATGATAATGATGAGGATGATGGTGTTACTTATATTACCAATTATAGTAAGTATCAAAATCATAATAGTAATGATAAGAGTAATAGTAACAACTAGAAGCGCATACCTCCACCAGGGCAATAAGGTCGCTGATGCAATAAAAGATATTCACACAAAGAATTACATTAGAATCACCTTGTTCAAGTTCACGGGTGCCGTCTGTCAATTTAAACTTTTTGGCGAAGGCGAAGCAATAGGAGTAATGATCCAATAATTAAAAAAAAAAAATCCTGGATCCGGATCACCACCAAAATTTAAGGGAATCTGAGTTAGGCTAAGACGCATCTGGGAAAATGTTCAGAAAATTATGTTCATAACTGAGTTATTCTGCTAACAAACGAATAAATAATTTATTGAAATCATCCTTCTGTAGTCTGTTTTCTCAAAATCGATACCGCAAATCAATGATATTTCTCCTTTTATTTTTTTATACATAAAAATTCCATTTTCTTGCTCCTTAATTAATAAATGGCATCAAACCACTTAAAACATAAGGGGCTTTGCATATTGTGCGCGCCAGTCAGTCATGCGAACGAAAACGGGAGAGAGAGGGAGATCTTTACGGGTCCATATGTCATCCAAGAGTGACCTCATGATTAGCGTCGAACCCCCCAGACTTTGTTCTGTGTGACGTCATACGCGAGACGGACGAGCGTCGGTCACACTAGTCGTCTCTGTCCTGGGATCCCTAGACAGCAACGGCGAGTGTCTGTCAGCTACAGAGTGAGGCTGGTCATCACAATGCCCCTTCATGGAGGACCATTGTTCCAGAAAACGCCACAGTGTCTACAATAACCTCCTGAATGAACTACACATCGCAGATAGTCGCATTTACTCTCGATGAAAAATTAAAGGAAGAGGACACTAAACTTTGAAAAGCAAATTCACTCATTTTATCAGTTATCATATATCATGCAACATGCCAGCTACCCGGATACCCCATATTACTACAGAAATAGCAGATAGCATATACCGGCTATTAGTGTAATCGGTCATGTACGAGAGGTAATTATGGACCGAAAAATCAAGTACCATCACTGAAATTGAGGAAACTATTAGTTAATGTTGATTGTGACGCAGCCTTGCCAGCCGTACGATCATACCCAGTGCAATGCAAATTTTCTTGTCGATTTCAACCATTTTTGTTATTCCCAATCTTCTGCTATCATGATAATTGTAGATGATATTCCATAACTGTTCTTTGGCTCACATTTTGTCCAGCAGCGTGTAAATAATCTCTGAAGTGAGCTCTGTGTCTTCAACATGTCGGAATGGGCACAAACTCTAATTTTATGCATTATTAACTATTGTTCAAATATTTTGGATTCAACTAACAAAAGTACAACAATTTCAAAACTTTGCTGCGAGTTGCATTAGGCAATATCAGTAAACTTGATCACATCAGCCTGCATATCCAAAAATTAAAATGGTTAAAAGTCCAACCTAAATGCAGTTATGACTCATGTGTACAAGCTCATTAATGGGAATCATACATAATGATCAATACCCTTGCAAACTGTATGGAACACATGAGGTGTCCAGACACGTCAAGTTGAGAGATCGAGTACCAGTACCGGGGCACGGCAAATGGAAATATGTGGACCCAAGTTATGAAACATGTTACCACATATGAGGCATTGACAACTGTAATTTCAAAACAAAAAAGAACACCTATTAAATAATCGGTTGTAAATATGAATGTATTTATGTAAAGAATAACCATTGTAATTAATGGAACAAAATGTTTTGACTTTGACTATTTGCTTCCCTTGACCAAATGAGCGTTTGTCTGGATCATCATCATTGGGAGCTAACGCCGACGGGGGCGCACCTTTTGGGATCCCTCATGACAAACCGCCAGGCAGGGACTCGGCCCATCTCGAGCTCCTCCCGACAGGTTTGATCGATCTGCCCAAGCCACGACCTTCTAGGTCGTCCCACAGGGCTCCTCCATCCAGGGTTGTCTCTTACAGAGACAACCTGATGAGCAGGATCAGCCTGTGGAAAGCGAGCCAGGTGGCCATGTAGCCAGAGTTGGCGATCCCGGATTGTGCAGATAACAGGTCCTGTGCCAGTCTCACGGTGCAACCGTTGGTTGGACACGTGGTCCCGTCAAGAATACCCCATGATCCGGCGCAAGGACCTATTACAAAAGGCATCAAGCCGAGACTCCAGGGCACTGGATAATGTCCAGGTTTCACATAGCGCAAAACTGGCATTATCAGGGCCCTGTAAACCCATAGCTTGGTCCTTCTGCACATACTCTTGTTGAGAGAGTTCATGACCCCTGCTGCCAGGCCAATCCGTCTACTGACTTCCTGGTCTGACAGCTCAGAGTTATGAACTGCACTACCAAGGTATGTAAAGCTCTCTGCGACTTCGATGTCCTCGCCGCAAGCACGTACCAACCGGGCAGGTTCTCCTAGTAAGTCCCCAAAGTCCTGGATCTTGGTCTTGGTCCAGGAGACCTCTAGACCAAGGGCTTCGCTTCATTACTAAATACATCATCAAGAGCCACCACTAGGGTTTCCAAAGACTCAGAAAGAATAGCAACATCATCGGCAAAGTCAAGGTCTGTAACCTTAATATTGCCAGTGTTGCTCCACAATGACTTTGAACAGTAGCTCTGCTCAGTATCCAGTCCATGCAAGTGTTGAAGTGTTGCTGCAAAAAACACAGCCTTGCCTCACTCCTGAATTGACAGGAAAGAAGCTCGACAGGCCCCCACCACACTTTACAGCACTTTCAGTACCAGTAATCCTTGTTGGGAATTCCTCTCAGTCTCAGGATCTCCCAGAGTGATTCCGATACACTGTATGGTGAGCATCCCCAATTTTAAGAATGGTCTTGCTTCATGGACCGAAAAATCAAGTACCATCACTGAAATTGAGGAAACTATTAGTTAATGTTGATTGTGACGCAGCCTTCAGCCGTACGATCATACCCAGTGCAATGCAAATTTCTTGTCGATTTCAACCATTTTGTTATTCCCAATCTTCTGCTATCATGATAATTGTAGATGATATTCCATAACTGTTCTTTGGCTCACATTTTGTCCAGCAGCGTGTAAATAATCTCTGAAGTGAGCTCTGTGTCTTCAACATGTCGGAATGGGCACAAACTCTAATTTTATGCATTATTAACTATTGTTCAAATATTTTGGATTCAACTAACAAAAGTACAACAATTTCAAAACTTTGCTGCGAGTTGCATTAGGCAATATCAGTAAACTTGATCACATCAGCCTGCATATCCAAAAATTAAAATGGTTAAAAGTCCAACCTAAATGCAGTTATGACTCATGTGTACAAGCTCATTAATAGGAATCATACATAATGATCAATACCCTTGCAAACTGTATGGAACACATGAGGTGTCCAGACACGTCAAGTTGAGAGATCGAGTACCAGTACCGGGGCACGGCAAATGGAAATATGTGGACCCAAGTTATGAAACATGTTACCACATATGAGGCATTGACAACTGTAATTTCAAAACAAAAAGAACACCTATTAAATAATCGGTTGTAAATATGAATGTATTTATGTAAAGATAACCATTGTAATTAATGGAACAAAATGTTTTGACTTTGACTATTTGCTTCCCTTGACCAAATGAGCGTTTGTCTGGATCATCATCATCATTGGGAGCTAACGCCGACGGGGGGCGCCTTTTGGGATCCCTCATGACAAACCGCCAGGCAGGGACTCGGCCCATCTCGAGCTCCTCCCGACAGGTTTGATCGATCTGCCCAAGCCACGACCTTCTAGGTCGTCCCACAGGGCTCCTCCATCCAGGGTTGTCTCTTACAGAGACAACCTGATGAGCAGGATCAGCCTGTGGAAAGCGAGCCAGGTGGCCATGTAGCCAGAGTTGGCGATCCCGGATTGTGCAGATAACAGGTCCTGTGCCAGTCTCACGGTGCAACCGTTGGTTGGACACGTGGTCCCGTCAAGAATACCCCATGATCCGGCGCAAGGACCTATTACAAAAGGCATCAAGCCGAGACTCCAGGGCACTGGATAATGTCCAGGTTTCACATAGCGCAAAACTGGCATTATCAGGGCCCTGTAAACCCATAGCTTGGTCCTTCTGCACATACTCTTGTTGAGAGAGTTCATGACCCCTGCTGCCAGGCCAATCCGTCTACTGACTTCCTGGTCTGACAGCTCAGAGTTATGAACTGCACTACCAAGGTATGTAAAGCTCTCTGCGACTTCGATGTCCTCGCCGCAAGCACGTACCAACCGGGCAGGTTCTCCTAGTAAGTCCCCAAAGTCCTGGATCTTGGTCTTGGTCCAGGAGACCTCTAGACCCAAGGGCTTCGCTTCATTACTAAATACATCATCAAGAGCCACCACTAGGGTTTCCAAAGACTCAGAAAGAATAGCAACATCATCGGCAAAGTCAAGGTCTGTAACCTTAATATTGCCCAGTGTTGCTCCACAATGACTTTGAACAGTAGCTCTGCTCAGTATCCAGTCCATGCAAGTGTTGAAGTGTTGCTGCAAAAACACAGCCTTGCCTCACTCCTGAATTGACAGGAAAGAAGCTCGACAGGCCCCCACCACACTTTACAGCACTTTCAGTACCAGTAATCCTTGTTGGAATTCCTCTCAGTCTCAGGATCTCGCAGAGTGATTCCCGATACACTGTATGGATAATCTTAAACATTCTATTGAGGCATCATTGGACTAAGTTCCTTGTAATTTTACGCTTTTGTTTCGGCGTGATCTTTCCCTCTCTGGCTGAGACACACGACCAACACAACGCTGATGCTGTGGGAAGGGATTTCAATCTTGCTTCCCCTCGTCATCATCTTCATCCATTATCGTTAACATCATTATCATCATTATCAGTATTATTATCATTATTATCAGTATTATTGTTCTTATTATCATTATTATCATTATCATTATCATTATCATTTATTCATTCATTATCATTATCATTATCATTATCATTATCATTATCATATCAATATCATTATCATGATCATCATCATAAAGGAAGAAAATCAGAAATAATAAAAAAAGAAGTGAAAAAATGGAGGAGAACAGATCAAAAGAAAGAAGCAGGGAAGAAAGAGAATTTGCAAAATGAGGACAAGAAAGCAATTAATATGAAATAACATTTCAATAACAATAATAGTAATAATGATAATAATAATAAAAGTAATGATAATAATAACAATCATAATAATAATAATGATTATAATAACAATGATAAGACTAATGCTCATTATGATAATAATAACTAAAATAACGATAGCAATATTATATCATTGCTTCTCTATCTCTACAGGCATTATTACAAGTCAACATGATATAGAACCTCATGTTACCATTGCATATTCGGACGCCAAAGTTAGCACGTTGTGTACACCATTATATCTCTAATGATATCAGGTCAAGTTAAAGCTGTTGTCTTCTCCAAGCGGATAAAGAGGGCATGCTGGGACCCATGTGGACTAAGCCGATGCAGTAGGATGGCCAGTTCTTTCCGCCTCGAGTTTGATGCCAGCATGTAGGAGGTCACTCACACCTGAGTGACCTTACATTCACTGACGTGAATGTAAGGTCACATGGGGCTGGTAACAATATTCCTCTGATAATATAGTATTCTCTTATTCTCATGGATATGTTCTGATGCATTTTGTCGCGGTTTAAATTCACTAAAGCTACCACTATTACGACAAAAGATGCGAATGTGATAATTGAGCCTAGACTGTATTCGAATGTCTGAAACTTCACCGATAACCTCAGCATTTGCAATTCTGTCGTATATTTTTTAGAACCATTACCAATACTGCATTTTTTACACCACGGTACAAGGGAAAACATTGGTTACGTGTCTTCTGCCAAGGCCAGTACCCAAGCTCTTTCGTCACATTCGCTTAGCGTGGCATCATGGTGGTAGTGTTCCTCTGTCCAGGGTTGATATGAAAAGCCCTAATTGTTATTCATATAGACACTCATCCATATACACAGAAATAAATCACTACCTATCAGACTAGACCTCTATACCTCCCGGACAGATAGATAAATGCACATCTATCAGATGGATAGACAGATACATTTATTTCAGTGTATACGCATATCCGTAGATATGAATATTAATTGGGTCAGGCCTCGTAAATCTTCACAAACCGGCTGACGTCCCTTGTTCTCGTTCCCGCTTCTTCGAAATGTTATAAATTTCTTTTAACTTCGACAGATGGCGGTTGTGTTAATGGCAGTAGTAATGGTATACATGGCAGTGGTAATATAGGATAAGGATGGTTATAATGATAATAACAGTAGTGATAATGTTGATAATGATATTGATATTGATAATAATACCGATATTGATATTAATAAAAACGATATTGATACTGATCATGATAATGGTAATAATCAAAATGATGATGACAATAATAATGATGATAGCAGTAATAATAACGATAGTGATAATGATACTAATGACAGGGATTGATAATAATAATGATGAAGCTGATGATGATGATAATGATGAGGATGATGAGGATGATAATAATAGTACTAGTAATGATGATGATGATGACGATACTAATGATACTGATGAAGATGATAATATTAATAATAAGAAGGATGACGATGATGCTTATGATAATAATAGTAATGCTGATAATGATAAAAATGATAATAATTAGAAGAATAAATATAAGAATAAAGACATTGATCATGATGATGGTAGTAATGATAATGATAATGACAATGATGATTATAACAATAATAATGATAATAACGATAATAATAATTGCAATGATAATAACAATACCAATACCAACGACAGCAATAATGATAATATTTATAATAGTTGTGATAATGAAATGATAAGAACACAATAACAATAATAACAATGATATCAATATTAATAATAATAATAATTATTATTATTATAATGGTAATGATGCTAACAATAGTTATGATAATGACAATATATAAGAAGTAATTTTGAAAATGTTTGAAAAGCAGGGAACATTCGCCATTCTGACAGCCTCTCACAGTCCTTTGATGAAGTAAACCCTCTTTCTGAAGAATCGTATCTTTTACTTTCATATCGTATTTTCTAGAATAAAGTGTCTTACGCACGAGCTCCAAAGTATTTGAAACTTTAAGATATAGCTTTATTCTACAGACGAACCAAAGATAAACGAATATTGTGATTAAATAACTGATATTAAAAAAAAAAAAAAAAAAAAAAAAAGAGGGCGTGACGGAATTTTCCATCAGGGTCCGAGGCCTTAGCAACAGAGGTCGGAACTTTTCCCTTATTTTTCCCCTCTCTGTTTAGAGGTGATGTTATAAACCCTCGAGACTCGGAAAATAAGGGCGAAAATCCTATACCGAGCACATACACAACGGCTCCGTAGTGGCGCGGCCAGACAACCGCTG